AAAGGATATTGATGACCTGAAACTGCGGGATTACTTCAAAATGAATTTACAATCCTTAATTCTTGTAAAGAAGGATTTGTTGAATAGATTCAAAAATAGAGCTGCCTTAAAATTAATAAAGGACAATAGACGGTAACCATGTGCATTGTGCAAAAGCTCTGTAGTTTTGAAAATAGTTTCTCATTAAAAACGGATCGGCATCGGCATATTTCCCCCAAAACGTCAAAAAATCCCCTAAGGAACTAAGGAAACTTGAAATGAAGCGGAGAAGAATTATAAGTCTTCAGGTCTACAGGTGAACTCAGATCAATTTGCAACTTGGAGAAAACTAAAATTCAGATCCATCCCATCTAATCCGTTCAAACCAGATCCATAACGTCTAATCCGTTCAAACCAGATCCATACCGTCTAATCCGTTCAAATTAGATACATCCTGTCTAATCCGTTCAAACCAGGATCCATCCCGTCTAATCCGTTCAAACCAGGATCCATACCCTCTAATCCGTTCAAACCAGATCCATCCCGTTTAATCCGTTCAAACCATGATCCATTCCGTCTAATCCGTTCAAACCATGATCCATCCCGTCTAATCCGTTCAAACCATGATCCATCCCGTCTAATCCATCTAAACCATGATCCATCCCGTCTAATCCGTTCAAACCATGATCCATCCCGTCTAATCCGTTCAAACCATGATCCATCCCGTCTAATCCGTTCAATATCAGTATAATAATAGCATTTGTATTTTTCTCTACAAGAAAGATGATTAAAACAGCTGCGCAATTACATTGAAGAACTTTGTCAGGGCATTAAAAAAACTCTCTTTTTGGTCTGATAAAATCAAACTAATATGGAAATTTAATCAAAACAAAAGGAATCCATGGATTGTTTGGATCTTTTATATTCAATTGGATTGCATGAATTGTAAGACTTGTATGGATTGTATGGATTGTATGGATCGGTTGGATTGTATGACTTAAAATACCCCGTGTAGACTGTATGAATTGTATGGATTGAATTGGATCAGATGCAGATTAAAAACTGAATATTTAATGTTCCCTTAGCTCTACAATCCTCTAACAATATAAAATAATCATAGAGTTCTAAAGAAAACAATTAAATATTAAAAACGAAATATAAATACACATTTCTGGATTAAAAAAATGTTAAAACTTTATGCTTTTATTTGGATTAGTTTTGAGCGATTTTAAGAAAAACTGGGGAACAGAAAACGTTAATTATTCAATTTTCCTTGATGAACTTGTCTACAGTAGTATCATTATACTCTGCCCCCCTGTCTGCACAAAAATGACAAATTATGATGAACATTGTTTAACAAAATCGGGTTTAAAGGTGCACTCATTAGGACTTAATGATTTGGCTAGTAAAGACTGAAAAATAGGGAACTTTGCTATACTTATAACATAAGGTAGGAGAGGGCCTACAATTTCAT